AAATTCTGTGTAATAGGTTTTATTTTATACATTAGGAAACTGAGTCACAGAGATGAAGTAATTTGTTCAGCCTTACACAGTTAGTGGCATAACTTGTATTCTAACCCAGGCATCTAAAACCTATAAAGCCTTGGGGAAAGAGAGAGTTGTAGAAATTATCCTAGAGTTGAGACTAAAATGACAATAAACAGAAACATTCCATTCAAAGTGGCAGGGCAGTGATTCTTCACGAAGAGAAAGCAGGTCATGTTGACAGTCTTAGTGTAGGGATTCTGAGTTTGAATTTCACCTCTGCAACTTATTAGTAGTTTAACCTTAGTTAACTTTATTAATTTCTATACTTCTCAGTTTTCTCATTTGTAAAGCGAGGATAATGGCACCTGTCTTGACTGATAAAATGTGATAATACATTTAAATAAATTAAAATAATGTCTGGCACATAGTAAGGACTCCGTTGTTATTAGCTGCTGCTATTATTGTTGTTAGTTGATAGATTAGCCACACTGAGTTTGGGTGACTTGTTTGATTACTTGCATCAACTGTTAAAGGGTATGTGGAATAAAAAAGGAAAAAATTAACACAAAGACTGATTTCTAATATCTCTGGAGATGTCTGCAAGATTGAGGCCACAACATTTTTGTTGTGTTGTAAGATTTACCATTAGTTTAAAATTCAATTAAAAATTAAATTATTAAATATTTGTTAAGATTATTTTTAGATTACTTTTTGCTGGGTATATTTTGTTTTGGAAACTGGTTCAATAATTACTTGAAGAATACTGGGAAATAACAGGTTTTATCTTTAACTTCATATGGTTTAATAAATGTAGACGTTTATTTTTCTCTATCTTAAGTTTGTAGTAAAAAAAACAAAAAATCCAGCACTTTGGGAAGCCGAGGTGAGAGGATGGCCTGAGCTCATAGGTTTGAGACCAGCCTGGGCAACTTGGCGAGACCTCATCTTTACAATAAATAAAAAAATTAGCTGGGCTTAGTGGCGCATGCTTGTAGTTCCAGCTGCTTGGAAGATTGAGGCGGAAGGATTGCCTGAGCCCAGTAGGTTGAGGCTGCGTGGCCATGAGCATGCCACTGCACTCCAGCCTGGGTAACAGAGTGAGACTGACTCAGAAAAAAAAAAAAATCAGAGTTAGTAATTGGTCTAATTTTATGTGTGTACATGGCATTTTGGAGTCTTATTCAGCTCCCTTGTTTAAAAATTTTATATTTATTGTCTTTATGTTCAGCCTTAAATGATCTCAGTGTGCTTTTATTTTGCTCATAGATTTAAAATTTCACTTTATAATTTAATTGGCTAATGTTGTGTCTACTAATAATTTAAATATAAATCATCCCTTTTCAATATAAAAGGCCTGTATAAAATCAGTAAACTTGTTATTTTTACCAAGAGTGAACTGCTGTTTTCTCATCTTTCGTGTGAAATTGACTCAATAATCTGTCTTCTAATTGTGAAGTATTATCTTTGCTTTTGGAAGAAAATTTGGATAAGAGTGGTTGTATGACATCTAGTTGCCTAACTGTGAATTTCTGTTATACCTCGGATTAATAGCTGCGTTGTTTTTATTTATGTTTTTAGATAAGTTTCTCATTGTCACCAAATTAGGGATTTTTATATCATCTTATTTTTCCCATCTTTTAAAATTTTTATTTTAAGAAACAGAGTCTTGGTCTATCAGTAGTCTAAGCTGAAATACAGTGGTGCAATCATAGCTCACTGGAATCTTGAACTCCTGAGCTCAAGCTGTCCTTTTGTCTCAGTCTCCTTAGTAGCTAGGACTGCAAGTGTATGCCACCACGCCCAGCTAATTTTTAAAATTTTGTATAGAAACGAGGTCTTACACGTTACCCAGGCTGGTCTAGAACTAACTTCTGGCCTCAAGTGACCCTCCTGCCTCAGTCTCTCAAAGTGCTGGGATTATGGGTGTGAGTCACCCCACCAGCCCCCATCTTGATTAAAGTGTATTATTCCTAAAGCAGTTTCAGTTACCTCCTTGAATTTTTCTTTTTATCTTGACATCTTTTGATGTGTTTTACTTTTATAACTTTCATGGCTTTATTGATGTTTGAAACAATTGGTGATTTCCTAACATTGTTACCTTGGACCAAATATATAATCTCTCAGTGCTTGAGTTTTCTCACTTAAGAAATTAGAATGATAACAGTATATATCTTAGAGCTGTGAGGTTTAAATTATTTAAGTTAGTGCCTAATGCATAGTAAATGCTGGTTAAATTGTATTGCCATCTCATAATGTGGATGAATCAAGAGGGACTCAGCCCTGCTAATGCTTTCTGATATTCTCTTTCTAATCATGTTTGCATACACACACACACACACACACACACACACACACGCTTTAAAATGCAGAATTCAAAAGTTTTATTATTCAGATTTCTTATATTACAGTCTACATGCATTATCACTTTTTGTGAATAAAATTAAGACTTGATATAAAATAAATGTCAACTTCTGCAGTCATCAATAAAATACCACTTGAAAACCTTAATTTCAGTATCTTCAACAAATTGATAGTTATTTCAATTTGATGGTTATTTTTAACATATACTTGAAATGTAGCATTATTTTACTATGTATGCTGAAATGTCAATATCATTGTTCAGGCTAGAAAATAATTTTGAATCATAAAACTATAAAAATTCATAGCTAGACATGCTGTATTTTACTGACCTCTAAATATGCAACTATACAATTAATGTTATACAAATGATAGGGACTTGAGTTTCATTAATAGAAGGAACAGAGATTTTTGAATACATGGCATCTCCTCATTTTTAGCCCTGTTAGTTCCTGAATAAAGTAGACTGAAAGAGCCTATGATCCTGTCATACCAGTCCATGACTCTATAAGGAAGGTATGCACTGGTTGTATTTTATCAAAAGAAACTAATTACAATATTGTGTAAATTCTTTAATTGATAGTGTAAGTACTTTAAATGCCCTTTTTTGTATAATTGAATTTTACTATAGAAATGGTTAAGAACACAACGAATTAAAGACCTGTTTATATGTGCTGCTTTTTGGGGGGGGCTCAACTAGCTATTTATTTCAGTTTTTTATTGATAAAAAGTATTTAGGTACAAATGCGTATATTTATGGGGTACATAAGATGTTCTGTTACATGCGCTGAATGTATCCTGATCAAGTCAAGGTATTTGGGGTAGCTGTAACCTCAAGTATTTATAAATTCCATGTGTTGGGAGCATTTTGAGTTCTTCTAGTTATTTTGAGTTATATAATACATTATTGTTAATTACAGTCACCCTAGTCTACTATTGAAGATTAGGAATTATTCCTTCCATCTAACTGTATGCTTGTACCCATTAACTGTGGCTTTAAGAAAAAAAAAAAGAGTACTATGGGACACTCCATATGCTTTATTATATTTTTAGAAATGTGAGATTTTTTGTTACTAATTTTGTTAATAAAAGCTAAAATGTACTGAATGTTTATTACATTTTAGCATTATACAGAGAACTTTTCACGCACATCTCATTTAAATCTCACACACTTCTGAAATATCTTTGTCATTTAATAAGATGGAGAAATAAGATGCCTGAAGTCAAGTTAATAGCTGCTAAAGGGTAAAATTGAAATTGTATACTTCTTAGAACCTCTCATGCTATACCTTTGATGTTATTTCACTACTAAAGTAATAAAACATTTTGTGTATTTGTGTAGAGAAACACTTTAATTAGCACTCTCAATTGCTTAAATTTTTATTAGGGTAGTCAAGAATATAAATACGTTTATAGTAGAATATGGACTAAGATTATACAAAAAGTAGTTGGTATGTGATGCAAGTTTTAGTAGTTGCTAGTTTTTGTTGTTGTTGTTGTTGTTATTTTTTTATGTTTTTTTTGAGTCGGAGCCTCACTCTGTCGCCCAGACTGGAGTGCAGTGGCCACTCCCGCCACCGCAGCCTCCACCTGCTGGGCTCCGGCGATCCTTCCGCCGCAGCCTTCCGAGTAGCCGGAATTACAGGCATGCGCTACCACACCCGGCTGATTTTTTGATTTATTGTAGAGATGAGGTCTCGCCAAGTTGCCCAGGCAGGTCTTGAACCCGCGGGCTCAGGCAATCCACTCACCTCAGCCTCCCAAAGCGTGGGATTACAGGCTGAGCCACCAAGCCCGGGTGTAGTTGCTAGTTTTTAACAGGCTAATTTATTTAAAGATGGGAAGAAGATAGGAATGATGAAATGGTAAGATAGAAATGGAAAGACAGAGGAAGTAAAAGATAGTCTAGACTTTTGGAGGTTTTCTTTTTAGGACTAGGTAGGGGAATTTACAGAGGATATACTCAAATAAAAAGAACCAGTGCAAAAAGCAGATTATATTTGACTAGCACAAAAGAAACTAGTATATAGGTTGGTGTTATAAAATAAAGATTATTATATTTTACTATTTATTCCATTCTTCTGATAGTAATGTTTTGGAACTGAAAGGGACTCTAGATAGTCTAAAGATAGTTGGTCCCCACTCCCCTCATTTTGTAGATGAGGAAACTGAGTGATGAGTGATTATAAATAAGGTAAATGTCTAAGAGTACATAGCTTTTTAGCGGCATGGCAGGGTCTGTTATTATAACTTTTGATTACATGCCTGTGCCCTTTTCCCTATACTGTAAATCCTCTTTTCCCCCAAGTTTCAAAAAACTTAACCTATCTGAAAATGAAACAGACACACATATATCTATGTAGACACCTGCCTTGTGATTTTTCCTTACTGACTTTCTTTTTTGGTGTGTATGTTTGAGGTAGTGGGTTGAAGTGGTAAGTTGCTTAAATATTTGCTGATTTTATGTGTATGGGTTTGTGTATTTGATATCTGATTATAAGCAATTGGCAATAAATATTTTCTTTGCTTAGAAATATTGAGTTTATATATGGTATACTTCAGATCTACTTTTTTGTTAAAATAATGTAAATACTGAAATCACATTTTTTTCTCTCTTCACTTTTCAGTAGTATTATTGATTCCACAGAATACAGCCAACCACCAGGTTTCAGTGGCAGTTCTCAGGTAAATGATATATTTAACAGTATGTTTTAGTAGTACCATGAGTATAATAGCCTGAGTTGTAAAATCATAGATTAGTTTATTAAAATGTCCTGTCATAAAGAACCATTTTGAGTGCTGTGGTATTGATTGGGATTTGAATAGCTCTGATCCATAATAGCAGGATAAACTCTTTACTTATCAATAATAAGAGTTTATTTTTTTTTAACTTACTGGTAATTTCCAACCTTGAGAGAGGCAGGAAATACTTTAGGAGGAAATGATTGAGGCATTGTTTATCATAGATATGAAAGTCATAAATCTATCAGTGAATTATCCACAGGCTTGAGTGTAATAGACACCAGCTTCACATGAACCCTTTCATTTAGTTGTATGATTATTTTTAATTTTACTTACTTCATCTTTGACCTGGGGATGCTGATATTTGTTAAACTTATTTTTGAGGCTTCACTTTGTTTAAATTTTACTTTTTGTATTGAAATAATTTTGGACTTAGAGAAAAGTTACAAAAATACTAAAACAAATTTCTTTATAATCTATTCCTGATTGTCTAAAACACTTAGCATTTGTTTTATCATTTCATTCAGTCTGTCTTTTATATATAAGCATATAGTATTTTTCTCTGGATTGTTTGAGTAATAAAGGGTTCCTTTACCCCTGAATCCTTCCATGTGTATTTCCTTAAGAACAAGAATACTGTCTAATCACAATATAACTTTAAAATTCAAGAAGTTGACAGTGCTATTAATCCAGGATCTTAGTCAGATATTACAAATAGCTCTAATATTACCCTTCATAGTGAAAGGGGGAAATATGAGGTATTTTTAGAGCACATTTACTTACATATTTACTTTATGTGAAAAATAGTGCAGCTGTTTTTATCCAAGTGAAAAGCAAGTCCTTTGGGATCGTATCACTTCTTTCCCAAAACTTAGATGGCTAGCTCTGTTGCTTGTGTTGTTAGCTTATGTGACTACTCTATATATCCTCTATTATCTTCATGTGCATGCATGCATTTGGCCTATTCTTTTATAATAATTTTATAGATTCGTTTGACTCTGTGAACAGCCATGAAAACACAAGATTCAGGTATTTTTATAAGATATAATGGGATATATCAGGACAGATTTTAAAGCCTTATATATACCATATATATGTGTATATATATGTATACACACACACGCACACACACACACACACACACACACACACACACACATCACATTACATTATATATACCTTTATGTGTATTATTAGAACATGAGAGAGAAAAGCAGTTTCTGAGTCTGGAAACTGGCTTAGCATTTATACTAATCCTTGATGTTCTCCTTTTGAACATAATTTCATGGAACATCAGCATCAGGCAAGGCCACTCTGTGACTGACGAAGTGAAACAAAAAGCAAGATCACTCCATAAACTTGTCTAAGTGCATTAAAAAAACAAGGTCACCATGCAAATCATAAAAAATACCAAATACACCCCTTTGCTGACTAATATGAGTGATTGCTGCTTTTCTAGTTAAAACTTTAGCTTTCCTGTAGTCTTCTGCCCTTCTAGGTAAGATTTATTAAGTGGTTCAATCACAGAATCAATTCTACTTGACAATATCCAATCCAGAATGAAACCCCACTTTCTTGAATCCTCCCTTAAATTATTTAACAAGTAATCTTGTAAGTTGTATCTGACATTCTCTTACTGAGATACCTTTTGCTTACTCATATTTATTGCAATTAGCAATAAATAAAACTTGTCCAGCTACAGATATGACTGGAGGCCTTTGACCAAACTCTAGATAGAGGAACAAGAAAAGGTCTCCACTGTTACCATTTATGTAACATTGCTTTGCAAATTCTAGCAAATCCTCTGAACTGGAAAACAGTAGAAATCGAATCTGGAGACATCTTAACAAAATATGAGAAAATATTTGCAAACTATTCATTAGACAAAGGATTGATAATCAGAATATATAAAGAACTCAACTTGATAGCAAAAAACGAATAATTTAAGAATGAGCAAAAAACCCGAATAGCCATTTCTCCAAAAAAGATATGCAAATGACCAACCAGTATAGGAAAAAATAGTCAACATCACTAATCATCAGGGAAATGCAAATGAAAACCAAAATAGATCTCATCTTACCCAATTAAAGTGAGTATTATCAAGAAGACAAAAAATAACAGATGCTGGCAAGTATGCAGAGAGAACATTCCTACTCTGTTGGTGTAAAGTAGTCAACCATTATGAAAAACAATATGGAGTTTCCTTAGAGAACTAAAAATGGAATTACCATATGATCCAGCAGTCTGCTGCTGGGTATATATTTAAAAGAAAGGAAGTCAGTATATTAAAGAGATATCTGCACTCTCATCTTTACTGTAATACTATTCACAATAGCTAACGTGTAGAACCAATCTAAGTGTTCATCATCAGATGAATGGATAAAGAAAATGTGGAGACTATACACAATGGAATATTATTCAGCCATACAACAAAGAATGAATAGAAACAGAATAGTTTTGAGGTAATAGGCTGGGAAGGGAAGGAGGTGAGGGGTGGTGAAGAGAAGTTGGTTAATGAGTAAAACAAATACATTTAGATTGTGGGAATGTCTAATATTTGATAATACAGTAAGGAAAATATAGTATAATTTAGTATATATTTCAAAGTAGCTAGAAGAAGAATTGTCATGTTCTCAACACAAAGAAATGTTAAATTTGAGATGATGGAAATCCCATTTACCCTGATTTGATCATTATCATATACATGTATCAAAATATCACATGTAACTCAGAATATGTATGACTGTGATATATCAATTAAAAAAATTAAATCTGGAGGAAAAAAGAAAAGTAATCAGAATGGTTTTTGTTAAAAATATTTTATAGTAGCATTTACTATTATCTAGTGAAGGAGACTTTTGGTTTGAGATATAGTATACTAGGTACAAATAACAAATTCAATTATTATCACAGACAGTGCTGACACAGTGATACATTCTGCTCCAAAGCAACTTATTGGCTCATGGTTACATAATGTCATTTATCATTAGTTAATATATCTCATAGGGTAGGCAAGGATCAGTGGCTCTGGAAATAACCATGTGGTCAGTACAGAGAGCTGAGGTCAATCCATGCTATGCAGTATATAATAAATAATATTTATATAATCATATATGTATATACACATATCTATAAATACCTCTGTATCCATCTTAAAATGTGTGAGTTCATAGTGCTACTTTCAATTCAGTTACAGGATACAACCACAGGGTTCATTCTGGTATTTCCCTTTACCATATTTGTAATTTCCTTTTCTAATAGAAATCTAGTTCATTATTAAAATATATTTACTTATTTGCATAATCTTAGAATATATGTACACAAAAAGTAGAATAATAAGTGCTGAGAAAACAAATATATTAACTAGAAGTTTTAAAGATTCCTTTTGTCTTTATTTGAATTTGATTGTTTAATTTCCTTTAGTATTAGTTATCATTTATTTGAAATACAATTTGGTTAATTTACTTCTGTTTGTGTTCCACCCCACTTTTCCATCTTTATTATAGGCATTTTTTTTTGAATTTATGAAATAGTAACTTGACTCTAAAAAAATCAGAGCTGTAAAAGTTATAATCAATAAATACTACCCTTTCAGCTCTTGTCCCATCTTTCCCACTACACTCCTACTTGGTTCCCTCTGTAGGAACCAATTTTATACATCAGGTTTACAGTTAAACATGAATATTTTCTTATTTTCATTCTCTTGACTCTCTTTCATAAAGAATAGTGTGCTCTCTCCCCCTCCCTCTCTCTCTCTCCTCCTCTCCCCCATAACCCCCCCACCAGGCCACTGATGGAGGTAAGAACACCACTGCATCTTCTGCCAAAGCTTGAGGTCTTGTTGCCCCAACTGGCAAATAAACCTCAGCTGTCCATCACCTGGTGCCAGTTCCTGTGTTTATCTGCCCCTTTGTGATGTTGTGGAACAGACCACTACCCAATCACCTTAACAACCTTCCCACATCAAAGGGAAGGATTAAAAGGATTCAATCATGAGCAGCCATCCTCAGTTGCCTTACTAGACTCCCGTGTGGCCATGTGCTCTTTAAGCTATGGCCGCCGCCATGTTTCCTAGGTTTTGGCCCCCTCTCCTATCTTGGAGAGGTGAACCTCTCTCTCTCTAATTTACTTTCTAAATAAACTTTATTTTCCAATCTAAAAAAAAAAAAAGTAGCTTTCTAGTTTTCTTACATTTATCTAGAAAATAATCCCACAGAAGTCCATAGAAATCGAATTTTTTTTTACAGCTATATGGGACGTCTTTATGCCATTGTACCATAGTTTATTTAATCAATTTGTTATATGAGGATAATTAGGTACTTTGCATTATTTTGAAATTACAGATGGTACTGCAGTGAATAACTTGTGCCCGTGTATTTTCATATTATCTTAGAATAGTTTTGTATTTCTCTAATTATGAGTGAGATTGAACATGTTTTCATATGTTTACCAGAATATTAATACACTGTTAGTGAATAGCCTATTCATATCTTAGCTGACAGACCATTTCCTTCCGTGACGTTTTTGATTGCTAAGTTCAATTTTTAAGACTTTGTTTTATATATATATAACATGAATATGGAATATTAATCTTTTATCTGTGATATATGTTACCTGTATTTTCTTTCCTTTTATTAATTTTTTTGACCATTCAAAGTTTGTAGTTAGAATTGTCAATCTTTTTTAAAATTTATATCTGGATTTTTTAGCTATCTGTGTTTCTGTTTTTGTATCGATATCACCTCTTTTGTGTAGAGTCTTTATGGTATGTTTTATGTCTTATAGGACTAACTCTCCCCCCACCCTCAACTTTTCTTTTTCATGGTTTTACAGAATATTTTTTCCTGTTTGTTCTTTCATAGAAACTTTAGATCTAGCAATAAAGGTTCTTGGTGTCTTTATTGGAACTGCTTTTAACTTACAAATTATTAGGGCAAATAGAT